TTCTACTAATTTTAATGAGTCGATTTTTATTTTCTTGTGGGGATTTTTAGTGTACTATGACATAATTCTTTCTTTTTAAGGGGTATATGAAGAATCTAGCTCCCTTTAAACATTTCATTCTTCCATCATCTTGACTAGAAAATGCAGACTACTTTTCTGAAGCTTAGTGGGAAAATGAAAGAGAAATAATTATATGTGTGTGTGTATATACGTATATGTAGCTTTTACCCATCAAAGCAAACTACTCTCAAGACCCAATGTATTTGTTTCTCTTGGTATGTGAACTAGGAGGGGAAAGTAAATACAAGCTTAAGCTTATGGCTGTATGTAAATAAATTTTTTTCCCTCCTCAGATAAGTAGTGTTTTGGAAAACTGGCATTTGGAACTGGTTTGGAGCTTTCATGAAGTAATTCTAATTTTAAAGAGGCTCCTTTGAACAACAAATATGGAAGGTTTAGCATTTCTTGTTTATTTGTTTGGTCTAGGTTTCTACAACTTGTTCACTTTGAAATTCTGCCGTTCTCTTGGGAGCTCATTAGAGTCATAGTGTCTAATGACTTTGGCTAGTTGGCTCAGTGGAAAGAGCACTGGGCCTAGAGTCAGAAACATCTGAGTTGAAATACAGCTTGAGATGCTTCCTAGCTTTGTAAACCTGCATAAATCACTGAACCTCAGCTTTAGTCTCTTCAACCTTAAAATGGAGAAAATAATAACAGCACAGACCTCATAGAGTCATTGGGAGGATCAAAAGGAATAATATTTGTAAAGTGCCTGACACATAATAAGCGCTGTATAAATGTTTGTCTCCTGACCCTTCCTCTTTTATTCTTTCAAAATATTTAGGTATATGACAGATGGATTGAAAAACCATCTTAGTGATTTGATTACCAATTTGTCCACAGTCACAGGGCTTCAGTAACCAAATCACTGAAATATTTTCTATTGATGCTATTGCGAATCTGACCAAAATTCCCTCAAAGAGAATATTCACCTGCATAAAAACTAAGTAATATTATTTTTATAAAAGATGAGTTTGGGGATTGGATGGTACTGAATGTATTTTGTTGTCCCTGCTGAGTTTCTTTCTAGCTTCTGGTGAAAAGATTATTCTTGACCTTGAAGATACATTGGAAGAAATAATTTGGCATGTTGAAGCTACAGATTTGATGTTACATCAAGGCATAATTATAAATTTGTGATAAAAAAACACTTTTATTTAATCGTGTGCCTTGGCCAATGGAAACAAAGCACATGGCTTGGCCCTTAGAACTGCTTATGCTTCATCAATCAAATTCAGTAGGCATTAATTATCTCTTGTGCACTAGACACTGTGCTAAACACAGGATACACAAAAAGACAAAATCAATCCCTGTCCTTAAGAATCTTACATATTAATATAAGATGGGTGGGGGGAGATTAGGGAGAGAGAACAGGTACAAAAGTATGTACAAAGTAAGTACAAGACAATTTCAATGGGAGGTCCTAGACATTGGGGTGAGGGGAGACAACAGGAAATGCCTCATGAAAGGGATGGTTTTTGAGCAGAATTTTGAAGGAAGCTAGGGTTTCCAAGAGGTGGATTTAAAGAATGAACACATACTAGACAGTGGGGACAGCCAGTAAAAAGGCACACAGGGGCAGCTAGGTGGTGAAGTGAACAGAGCATCAGTCCTGGAGTTGGGGGGACCTGAGTTCAAATCTGGCCTCAGACATTTGACACTTACTAGATGTGTAATCCTGGGCAAGTCACATAATGCCCATTGCCTTGCAAAAAGAAAAAAAAAAGCACAGAAACAGAGATGGCATGTCATGTATGAGTAGCAGCAAAACTATATATAGGCAAAATGATTATCTCTCCTGAAATGGCTCCCAAATCCAGTCCTAATCTCTATTTTGAACTCAAGTACCACATTACCAACTGCTTGTTGGACATCTCTACTCAGATACCTAAGTGGCATCTCAAAGTCAACGTGTCCAAAATAGAACTCATTCACTTCCCCCTTTAAGTTTCCCTATTTCTGTCCAGGTAATCACCATCCTTCTTGCCACACAAATTTGCAATTTCTGATTCATTCTTTACTCTTCCTTCTGTCCATCCTCACTCCTTGGATTAAAGATCTTTAGTGACTCTTTGTTCCCATTAGGATAAAATGCAGAATTCTCAGCAGAGCTTTTTAAGCCTTCATAGTCTGACTCCTTCTTAACTTTCCAGTGTCCTTTTGTTCTCCCTCAGCCCAATTATCCAATTAGTTGTCATGACTTTTCAATTCCACTTAATAACTAGCATTTAAACTCCACTCTATTTGCTGCTCCATCTAGTTGCCTACTTCTATGACCATTTCTTGAATCTGTCCTCTTCTTCTACTCAGGTGGCCACTACCCTAGTACAGGCCCTATCACTCTTCTCTCAGTCTCTTCAGCTCCTGGGTCCTACTCCTTCACTCAATGACAAGCATACACAGAAATGGCCACATTCTTTTGATTTCACAATTACACACAAGTGTTCCACTTCCATAATCAAGAATCCTGAGATTTATCTAGCGATAGTCTGCCATCATTCCACCTCTCCCTGTGCTCCCCTCCTTCCAAATTAATTCTACATCCCCTTTAGGAACTCCAGTACATCAGCCGTACCTCAATAGTCTTCCAAGCTATCATCCGTAGCTTCATTTTCCTTCCTTCCAAATCTTATCCCTATTTTTAATCACTTCATTGTTACACTGTCCTCTACTCTCAAATGCCTCTTCCCTTTCCTCCAACCATCCATCTCTTCTGATGTTACTCATGTGCTGCAGCAGAAGTTATACAACTATACTAACTTGGTTCACTAGTAATTTATATTACTGAATTTCAGCTGAGTCCTCACTTCAGCACAAGGCAATGCTTCTACTCCTCTCTAATTGGTTTTCTATTGCGAGTCTCTCAGAGGCTTTTCCAAACTTTCTTCTCCCCTCAAGCCTTTGTACATCCCTCCCTCCCCCTACCTCTCAACAGAAGATCTTATCTCATGCTTTACTAAGAAAATACAGGCTATTCATCACAAGTTCTCTATATAACCAACCCATTGGGGTCATCCGCAACTCTTTCCTTCTTTACTTCAATCTTTGATGGGGACATGGTCCTTCTCCTCACCAAGGCCAATCATCCTGCATCTACACTTCACCTATCCTCTGCCCCTTCCCTAAATTCCCATCTCTCCATAACTATTGACTCTTTGCCTACTTCCTACTCTCATCCTTAAAAAAATCCTCATCATACTCTACTATCTATTCAAGCTATTATTCCATATCTCTCCTCCCTTTTATAGCCAAAGTCCTAGAAAAATTGGTCTACTCTCATTGTCTCAATTGACTCTTTTCTCCCTTAGCTCTCAACCCCTTGTGAACTTGATTCCAGCCTCAACCCTGAACTGAAATTATTTCTGGTTACCAATGATCTTTGAAATGCCAAATATGATGGGTCTTCTTCTCAATCTTCATTTTTTGACCTCTCTGAGCATTTTACTGCTGACTACCCTCTGCTCCTGTGTATTTTCTTCTCCACATTTGTGATGCTGTTCTCTCTTAATCCTCCTACTACCTGTCAGACTGCCCCTCAATCTCATTTGTTGGTGGTTGTCCCCTCTTCCTCTCCCTAACTATGAATATGCTTCCAGGTTCTCTTCAATTTTCTCTATACTTCCTCTTGGTTACCTCATCAGCTCCCATGCGTTTAATCATCATCTCCTTGCAGATGATTCCCAGACCTATAGACCCAGCCTTAAACTGCCCCTTGAGCTCCAGTCGTACAACATCAACAACTTTTGAACTGGATGCCCTAAAGACAGCTCAAACTCAACATATCCAAAGAAAAACTGTCTTTTCCTTAACACCTATCCCTCTTCCAAGCATCATTATTTCTCACATGGCTACTACTGTCCTTCTAGTCATGCATTTGCACAGTCTTAAAGGCATCCTTAACTTTTCACTCTTATTCTTGCCCCACACATCTAATCAGTTGGCATCTTGTTGAGTCTACTTCCACAATATCTACTGTAAGTCACTTCCTAGTCTTCTTTCCCACAGCCACCACTCTGGTTCAGGCCCTCATTACCTCTCTGCTGGAGCCGCATATGTATTAGCTTTCTAATTAGTCTCCCCGCCCCATCTCTTACCCACTGCTCCTTTCAATCCATTCTCCAAGGAGTTTCTTAAAGCATAGGTCTGATCATGTTATTAGATGGAAAAGGAGGTACAAATGTACAAAAGCATCTCATTTCTGTATGCTACAACCAACAATCCACACAAACAATTACTAAGAGAAATGCCCTTTATGAAAATGATTATGTCAATTATTTGGACATTACCTTATCAAGACATACAGGAGACCTATACAAAGCCAACTTCAAAATTTGACAGAAATTGAGGAACAACTGAATAAATGGAGTTAGGTCAAGCATATTTATTAAAAATATCAAAATTTCACAAACTAACAAAGATTTAATGCAATACCAATCAAAATATTAACAGCTTAGTTCAAAGAATTGGATAAAATCTTGAAATTCATATGGAAAAATACCTGGATAAGAATATTAAGACTATGAAAAAGAATTAAGATTTAAGTCTAAATTATTTCTAAGTTCTTATTTACCTCTGACATCCTATGGATTTATTAATCTAGTGCCTTCCCTCTGTTGATTATCTTCAATTTATCCCATATATAATTTATTTTTATATAGTTGTTTCATAGTCTTCCCCATTACACTACGAATTTCTTGAAAGCAAGGATTCTCTTTTGCCTGCCTTTGAATCCTTAGCACTTAGCCTGGCACATAATAGGCCCTTAATAAATGTTTATTGAGAGACTTACTGACTGAATATAAGATCCAGATGAGGTATAAAAGTTGGTTCTATTGGAAAGTCTCCCATAATGTGCCAGACAGCAAAACATTTTCAGTAGATGCTTTCTCCAATGCAATATATAATGAATAAGTGACCTTTGTCTTTTCTTCTTTTGACAGGAATCTTACATTATTTCTCTAGAACTGAGAGAAAAATGTGAAGCCATAAGTGAAAAGTTATTGTATTTGGAAGATCAACTTCATGTTGCAATCTATAGCCATGATGAAGGTCTTATTCATATCCTTTTAATCTTGTATAGATTTACCACCTGCCAAGTTATAACTCCAGATTAAAAAAAAAGGAAACAACTAAAAATGAATCATGATCAATGAGTAATACAGCAGTTGGAAACAAGTTGATTTTTCTATTACTTTCTATGGGAGGCACCTCTAAGATCTTGGAAATCAATCACAAATCAATCATAACATACAATAAGTTTCCTCTTGCTCCAGGTAAGGAAATAATAGGGATTTGGAACTGTAGATTCTCCAGGAACTTAGAGGTCATTCTGTCCAACCCATACCTGAGCTAGAATCCCATCTATTATCATCAGTGATAAGTAGCCATCCATCTACCACTTGTATAGCCACTGCTTGGTAATTTATTTCCTCTCACTCTTTCCCCACTAATTTGCCACTTTGGCAAAATTCTACTTGTTAGGAAGTTTATCTTTAGATTGAGTCAAAATCTGTTTCTCAACAATTTAAAGTTAATGGGAACAAGTGGGAAAGTTCTATACATAGGTTAAAAAGTCCAACTTCATATGAATGGATGGGGAGAGTACAACTACTTTTTCTGTGAAAAACACATGAGGAATGTAATAGATTCCAAGTTAAGTGAATTAATAGTATAGCACAACTGCTTATTGCTTCCCCCCCCCAAAAAAAAAAGAAAAGAGTTAATGTGATATTTAGGATGCATTATTAGAAATAAAGCATTCAAATGAAGGATTTGTAGTTCCACTAAACTCTGCTTTGTTCAGACTGCAGCTCAAGTAATATGTTTAGTTGTGAGTACCATATTTTAGAAAGGGAATTGACAGGCTGAAGGATGTACAGAGAAACGCAACCAGGGTAATAGGGAGAGTTAAAATCATGCTATACATGGATCAGTTGAAACAACTGGGGATGTTTAGTCTGAAGAATAGAAGATTTGGTAGAGCAGGTGAAAAGAGAGAGCATGATAGCTCTCACCAAGTATTTGAAGGGCTGTCATGTGGAAGAGGTCATAGTAATAATGACAACAACAGCATTATATAGTGTTTTAAGGCTTGCAAAGTGCTTTACATATGTTAATTATTGATCATTTTATCCTCATAACAACTGTGGTAGGTAAGTAAAATGTTATTTCCATTTTATTGATGAGGAAATTGAGGCTAATGGTGGTTAGGTGGCTTGCCCAAGGTTACACAGCTAATAAATATCTAGCACTAAATTTGAATTCAGCTCCTCCTGATTCCAAGTCCATTTCTGTCCACTGAGCCACCAGTCTGGTATTAGATTTGTTGTTCTTGGCTTTTGATGGAAATGAAACTAAAACTAATGGGAGAAGTTACAGAAAGGCTTGATATAAAAACAACCTTTGTAGTAATCAGATCCGCCCTGAAGTGGAATGGAGTGCCCTGGGAGGTGGTATATTCCTCTTTGCTGAAGGTTTTCAAATGCAGGCTGGCTGACTACTTGTCAGGAATGCTGATTGAAATTGAAGGTCTTCTGGCTCAGATATAAATTGGACAAATGGATCTTGAGGTCCCTTCCAATTCTGAGATTCTGCGATGTTGGTCTTTCACTCTTCTGCTATGTAATTATCATGTTGTCATACCTCATGTTTTGGTGTCAATTCTGCAGCAAGAATTAGATGTAGAATATAATCTCTTAGAGGACAGGGTCAGTCTCTCTTTCATATTTGTATCCTCAGTTCCTGGCATATAGTAGGTGCTTAATGAATGATTATTGATTAAGCGATGGAAGAAAATGTAAGTATTGTCTTGTATACACATTGGTTTAATATTGTAGCATTTTCAGTTCCTTCTTGGAATGCTATAAAAAGCCTTTGAGTCCTGAGACTTCTCTTTGCTGTCATCATCATCATCATCATCATCATCATCATCATCATCATCAAAATCATCGTCATCATGACTAGCATTTAAAGTTTGTAAAGCATTTGATGCATGTAAATTGATCCTAACAGCCCTGTGAGGTAGGTGCTATTATTATCCCTATTTTGCAGATGAGAAAATGGAGGCTGAGATGGTAAGTGATTTGCCTAGGGTCACACAGCTAGTAAGAACCTGAGGCAGGATTCAAACTCACATCCTCCTGACTCCAAGTCTAGCCCTTGAGTAACTGTAACACCTTGACATCGCCTTTGTGTCTTACATTAACAGGTATTGGAGGAGGAATCACTTCTTAGCACAAATGTTTTACCCTTCCTTCATCCTTTAACTTTTAAAAAAAGTGAAGCTATGGGATGAAGGATGGTTGAAAATGAATTAGTTATTATCAAATAATGAAAAGCAAAGAGCCAATAGAAGTGGGGATACCTTTCATTATTGTTAATGCTTTTTTGCATACTAAATTGAAAACTATATTGAGCTCATTTTGATGTCACCTTTGCAGCTGAATTGTTAAATTGTCCTTGCCTCCAACTTTAATAATAGTAATTAAGGCAATTAAAAATATTAAAATCACAATGATAATATTAAAAGAATGAAAATCATTCTTATCCATTCTTAAGTGAGGCTGCATCTACAATGAGGCCCGACAGCATCATAATGTATGCTCTCAATTGGTTTTCTTGGTCTGTGTTATATTGTTGCCTTCTGGTCACTCAAGGACAGGCAGCTTTGCTGCCAGTCAGTAAACTTCTTGCCTGGGAATCTGTCTTGACAGTTAGCTGGGAAGCTTTTGTCTAGAAAACTCTCTTCCAAGCAGAAATAAACACCTATAACATTTGTTGTGTCCCATTGCCTCCTGCTTGGCAGTGCCTCTCTTATAGGTAGAAGATTGAATGCAGTCATCAAGAATGTGATATAGCCCTAGTCTGAATCTATGACAGATATCATCCTCATAGCCATCACTCAGATGCTCTTTTAAGTGCAGTCTGTGCCTGGGCTTTGGAGTAATCCAGGCCATGCTGAAAAGTAACCAACAAAACAAGACCTTCACTCTGATATTACAGGAATGCAGCCATGTCATATAAGCTCCTAACTCCCTCTTTCAAAGGGTAAGAAATCAGGGTCATATAGAACAAATAGAGAATTTTTAGGAGCACAAAAGATCATCAGACTGCTGCAGACAGACTGTGACAGGGCTCCCCAGACCCTTCCTTGGCCCTTTACTCTATCCATTCTCCCACCAACTGTGTACAGTGACTATGATCAGAGCTCAGGTGTTAGGACGTCATTACATCAGTGCTGTTCTACAGTCCTGATCCTGCCTAATACTCTCACCTATCAAACCCAGATGTGAGCAGAGCCATTGGAGTTCATCTATGGTAAATGGCCCCAGTAGAGTTCTGACCCCCACACCTGTTTCTAACAACAACAACAAAAAGCTTATAAACAGGTGTTTCTCCTTCTGCAAGACAATCCCTGACTGCTTTGAGAGAGAATGAATTTTTCTCGCCTTATCATTTTATATCCAGAAATTACTCCTATGGGCTGAAGTTATGATCCAGCCTAACATCTAAAGATTTTGTGATGTTGAAAATACAGAAGGTTTTTCTTTGGACACACCACATAATGAGAGGCCTTCTGCGCATGATGGATTGGTTACAAGATCTACCTTTCCACTAGGTATCTCTGTGCCCCATTAACAATTGCTGGTAGAGGATGGAAGGCTCTTATATAGTCCACTATGTGGTTGGACTAGCCAAACATGTCTTTCAAAAAACTATTTATCATATTTTAATCAGATGATGGATCCATTTCAGAAGTATATTACCTAGTTTGATGTTAGCCCTCAATAAATGGTAAGTAGTCATATAGTTAAGCATATCCAGTACAATTTAAATGCTACTGAGTTTTTCAGGAATCAGTTCAGCTTAGAATTAAATTTTTCTTTTAGAACTTTACCAAAGAATTTGTTACTAGCTTTCTTGCATATTGCATATAAATAGGAGGTAGATTGATAGCAAAACAAATGCAGTATGATTGGTCCAAATTGGAAGGAAAAAAAACATGTTGGCCTCTTAATTATTGGATTATTGACACTGGTCTTTGTCAATAGGAATAATTGTCTTCTGTTCATGTATTTTTCTCTCCCCTGCCCTGACTCCAGCCTCAATGGATATTTAGCCCTAGGCCAAATTCCAAGGTCATTTAAAATAATATTCAGCTTTCTTAATGTGCAAAGTGTTTGGGAAAGGCAAGAAAATACATTGACCATTTTAATGAATATCTTAGGTAGGATTTTCCTGAGTCACCTCGGACCTTTCCTAAGCCAACAATACTAGCTCATGACTCTGTTTTGTAAATGGATTAAAAGGCTTCAAGAGCCCTATTTCAGATCCACCTCTGATACTTACTATGTGGCTGTGGGCTTCTCTTTTCACTTTGCCTCTCTACACTTCAGTTTCTTCATCTATAATATGAGGATAATATTACTGTGTAACTCATAGAGTTGTTGATTGCAATGCGGAAAGTATTTTCAAACCTTTATTCGCTCTACAAATGTAAAATAGTATCCAAAATGTGTATCAGCTACTATATGGAAGAATTTGAAGTTAGGAAGATCTGAGTTGGAATCCTTCTTCTCTCCGACAGTTACTAAGAGTGTCACCCTGAGCAAGTCACTTGATCTATATTTGGATCAGTGTCCTCATCTGTAAAATGGAGATAAATCATAGCATCTACCTCCTAGGGTTGTTGTGAGTACTAAATGAAATAACATATATAAAATACTTTTATGCCTTAAGAGACATATAAATATGAGCTGTTATTATCTGAGACAGTTTGGAAGCTGCCAGCTTTTCAAAGATTAGCTCTTTTGAGAACAGACACATCACTGCATAGATGGATGATTGCTTCAGTATTGATTCTTATCTTTCCAGGTCACCTACCTTAAATCAACAACAGGTTTTTTTCCCTGAAATTTGTTTTTGTTTTGTTTTTTATTGGAATTTTGGCTGTTATTCATCTTAAGTTGGATGTTTTGAGGGTAACCTTTTCTAGGATGATGGAAGCTATTTTACCCCTCTCTCCAATACTTCAAAAAATTTGCATTTTACTCATTTCA